ACCCTAACCCTAAACCCTAACCCTAACCCTAACCCTTAACCCTAACCCTAACCCTTAACCCTAACCCTAACCCTTAACCCTAACCCTAAACCTAACCCTAACCCTAAACCCGACCCTGACCCTGACCCTGACCCTAACCCCTAACCCCGACCCCACCCTGACCCCTAACCCCTAACCCAACCCCTAACCCTAACCCTAACCCTAGACCCTTGACCCCTGGACCCTGACCCTGACCCTAACCCTAACCTAACCCTAACCTAACCCTAACCCTAACCCTAACCCTAACCCCTAACCCTAACCCTAACCCTAACCCCTAAACCCAACCCCTAAACCCTAAACCCTAACCTAACCCTAACCCTAACCCCTAACGCCTAACGCCTAACCCTAAACCCTACCCCTACCCCTTACCATAAACCCCTAACCCTACCCCACCCCTACCCCCTTACCCTAACCTTATGCCTACCCTAACCCCTTACCCTAACCACAGCCCTCCTCCTAACCCTAAGCCCTAGCCCTAACCCAGTAACACTAACCTCAAACCCAATAACTGTAACTCCTAACCCTACCCCTAACCCAACCTTGACCCCTGACCCTAAACCTAATCCCTAACCACACCCCTATACCCAAACCCCTAAACCCAAACCCTAACCCTAACCAATCCTAACCGTAACATAGAACGGGCCGACGAAAATACTGTGATCCATAACCATACTTAACTTGCGAACCTGACATTGAATCCACTTCCATTTTGGGAAACGAGTCCCCCACGGTCATACTTCAACTTCGCTGGTTCTTTGCCAAATTGGACCCCGTCTTTGCATGGAACCTACGATGACAAAAAACTTTAACGACGCTTGCGCTGCACACCGACCGACAGCCTAAAGTGTATCTCGAACCATCTTCGGAACACATTGATGGTGCATAGAGGAAGAGAATACATTACCGTCACCAGGACTTCGCACTCCGATATTTACGACCAGATCCCAGTACTCATTTTAATAGTGTCCTACTGGAAACAACAGCTATAAGTTGCCATTGTTCTTATATTAATAAAGACTTGGAGCGAACATTGAGTGCAAATTGCCCCAGCTTTTCAATTTGCAGCGGATTGGGGCGTGGGTGGTGGGTGGTTCAGGAGGATTAGGGGTAAGAGATTCTCTGCTGCATTGTGGCCAGCTGGAGATGGGTGACCATATTTCCCAAAAGGAAAATGGGACACCCCCAGCTATTCACCAGAGCACCCCCTCACGAGGCTGTTGCTGGTCTCTGGAACCCTGCCTGCTCCCCACCCCCATGTGAGGCTGTTGCTGGTCGCTGGAACCCTGCCTGCCCCCTACATGCTGGAATGCTGTCTCTGTCCCCCAGCCCTGCCTCCATGGGGCTGGCATCTCCACTC